ACACCGTTCATATTGGGCATGCAAAACGAACCAATCGATAAATTACGAAAGAAATAATACAACTATACTACTAGTAGTATACTACCTCACATGCAATATGGGAAAATGAAATCTCAAGCAAGCAAGCAATATATCGAATGCTACATTAAAGGAGGTTATTTTTAGATTTATTTGGCAACCGTTATTAGGATATTTTTAATTGAACTTGAATTCTCATGTATAAGTATAACCTAATCTAGTTTGTGCAGTTCTGGTCAGGTCTAAACTATCTGAACTGATCCAATAAATGTCTATTATATGAATATTTTACAACTTTCAAATTAAAGTCCGATCTCTTCTAGTATAATCTGATATTGAAACCAGTCTAACTAAAAACACCTAATAGTAATTATTATAACTACTCAAATATTCTATGAATCTATACCCTCAATAAATTAAGGCATTTGGGTGCATGGATCGAATAGAATACTAGAATGACTAATTTTTGGTAAACAGTGCCTTAAACTGTGCAATTACATATGAGCATCTTTAGGGTACGTGTTTTCTTTTAGACAATTTTCAGTTCCAGACCAGATCAGATCGGATTAGACCAGATCAGACCAGACCAGATTTCTGTAATTATAAAATACATACTGACCAGACATTTACCAGACCAACAAATTTCAGTACAAAGAAAACATCCTCAATCTTCGATGTTAAATAGTTGTTCTTATAATTTGACTAGTCACATCTTAATTTCTAGCATAATTAGTTTCAATTGAAATAGTACTTCAATGATTAGCTACAATTTCTTTCTTTCCATTATTATTAATAATGTTATACCTTACCCCATACTTAAAAATTCTCTTTCTTCAAAGCTATTAGTCCCTTTCGCCTAATTAATTAATTAATTAATTAATTTTCTCAAGAGAAAAGAAAAGCAATGTTCTAATAATGGTTAGCTATTTGATTTGAATTCGCTAACTAGTAATTCTAATCAACCAATTGAGGATAATGCTTTAATAACCATTGCATATGGGAAATTGATCAATGTAGGGTTGTAGCCTATAGGCAAGAGCATATATATATATATATATATATATATATATATATATATATATATATATATATATATATATATCCATTTGCGTGGTTCTAATCCATTCTGATTTTACTTTATTTTCTTTTTATCATCAATTCAATATAAAGTAAAGAAACTCACTTTTATTGATAAGCGTTATATAATTGTTCCAATGTTAGGGGACGAAATTAATATAAACATTTTTATTTTAATGAATTATAATTGTTCCATATAATCAATGAGTCTTATGTCTTATACTACTAAATTTTATTGATAGGCTAGGTTAACTAAATTACATATTGGACTTATTTTTAGTGGTTCTGTTTTCTGGCAAACATCTTTAAAAATCATCTTAAGTTGATGAAAAGGTTTATTACATTGACCTTCATCTCAATAGATATCTTTATCAATTCAAGTTCCAACAAGCATTTGAGTCACATAAGTCGCGATAACAAGATAGGCACATTGACTACATGATTAGTTTGCTCTAACAAGTCACCATTTTGTATGTCTATTAAAGAAAAAGCTCCAAAACTAAATACACCTCTTAAGAGAATTCCTAGCTTCAACCTAACCCTGACTTGTGTGTATATATATATATATATATATATATATATATATATATATATATATATATATATATATATATATATATCAACAAACTAATTGATGGAAGCCTACTAGAATATATACCAAACCAAGAAAAAAAAGGCAAACTAGACTAGATGAGAATGATGAACATTGTCCTCCAATGTTATTGGTTCTTCTTTGCAGTAACTTTTGGTTTTACCGTGCCATATGTTTCCGGTTTAACGGTGACTGACGGCGTCTTCCCAGGATATGTTGTGGCACAAGATGGGACGGGGGACTACACAACCGTGAAAGAAGCGGTGGATGAAATTGATAAGATAAGCGAAAGTTGGGGGAGATTTGTAATTTATGTGAAAATGGGGGTGTACAGCGAGAACGTTGAAATTTATAGGAGCAACGTGACGTTAGTTGGTGATGGAATTGGGAAGACTATCATCACTGCAAACAAGAGCAGTGCAAATGGCTCCTCAACATATGCTTCTGCTACTTTTGGTAATAATAATAATAATACTCCGTAATAAATTAATAATAATAATAAATAACGGGGGCAGACCTCTTTTGTTTAATGAACACTCAAAATTTTGAGAATAAAATGTAAACACAAATTATACTCCCTCCGTAACATTCATATCTTCCCACTTTCCTTTTTTGGATGTAACATTTATATCTTCACATTTCTAAATCTTCCCATCATACCCTCAATAATTTAAAAAATAATACACTATTACACCTACTTTTTTGGATTTATCCTTCATCCCATCACATTATTTCACTATCTTCCCATCATACCCTCAATAATTTATATCCTCTTTCACTATTCTTAATCTCACTCACTTTGGAAGTGGGAAGATATATGTGATACGGAGGGAGTATAATTGATGCAATAATTTATATATATATTTTTATGTAATATTGCTAGCTCTTAACCTTATTTTTGAAATTTTAATGTTAGAAAAGTTACATTTCTCAATTGGTAGACCAAACAATATTATCGTGCAATAGATAAAATTACGTGAATACATTATATTCAGGGATGGATTTAGGGAGGGAGGGGGGACCGCCCCCTGGATTTTCAAAATTTTATAATACTTTCATAAAACTTTCATACTTTAATTAAATATATATATGTTCGGCCCCACATAACTTTTAGTTTTCAAAATTAATATATACCCTTACATAATGTAATATTTAATTGGAAATTTAAAAGAAGAAATGTCTAAAAATAAGTTACATAACTTAAAAAATAAAAAATAGAACAACTCATTGTTTAATATTTAGGATACTTATTATATAAAAATTCATGGCTTTGTAATGTTTAATTATCTTTATTGGATACCTAGTACTCGATTTTTTAAAATATTAAACGATATTAAATATCAGACACACTAGTTAAACAATTTTTAGATCATGTAAGGTGAATCCAAAATATAAATATTTGTTGACATTAAATTCCACAACTCATTTACTTCTTACTTTCTAAAAACAATGCATTGCATAGATAATAATCTTTATCAAATTTTAGCATTAATACAAATCCAATATGCACCATATATTAATTAGCAATATAATATTATTCTAAAAATAATAATCTCATTCATAGTATTGTAATATTAAGAAAGCTTCTAGTAACTTACAAAACCCTCCTTGGTAGACAAAAAATGTAATTAAAAACTAATTATTTATATTTCAATACTATGAATGAGATTATTATTTTTAGACAAATCCCTCCTTGGTAGACAAATCACATAAGATTCATGTGGTTAACCAAGATAGAAATTATTTAAAATGCTATAGTGATTTGTCATTTCTTACGCTTTAATGTATCAATACTTTTTTCTAGAGAACTTTAATTATAAAATCAAAGTTTTTTTTAATTTTCTAAACTTAGAGTGTAATAAATCTAAGAACAATTACATACATATGATTAAAATAAAGATTGTTTACAAAATATGACCAATGACTAAAGCAGTAATGGAATAAGAGTAACTCGTGTTCAAATTTTAAACTTAAGTGATCATGACACTAGATTGTAGTAACTATTAGTCGTATTTGTATAAATAAGTTATATTTTAGTAATATTTCTAAAAAATCTCTAAATTTAAATGTCATTTTGTATGTATTAATGGATTTTTTTTGAATAAAAAAATAGCTGCAGAGACGTAAATCAACGAAAAAATTTGCCCCTTTAGAATGTTGAAAAAGTTCTGCCCCCGCTACAGTAGCGAGAAAAATTTCTCCCCTACACTAACGAATAACATTTCGCCTCCCTTGACTCAAAATTCTAGATCCGTCTCTGCCTATATTTGGTTGCAAGATCGCCACTGATAATGATGATATTAATATTAATAACAATAATAATAATAACAACAAAAACATTAATAACGTACAACAACAATAATAATTACACTTTATTTAACCACCCTGAAACACACTGAATTGGCTCGATATGCTGAAATTGGTGAATTTTTTGTTGAATTGGATGAATAATCTCAATTATGAAAATACTATATTTACAATATAGTCCGTATTTTATTAATCAAGCAAAGAAATCATAGTCCTTTTCACCAATTTCAACTAATTTAGTAAAAAGGGGATAACTCCAATTTTACTTATTTAATTATCACATATTTCAATGCAATAAATCAAAATTACAATTTAGTAAAAAAGTTGAATGTCAGGACTAGTGGTGAACTCGGTATCGGCCACCTGACGTGGGAACCGGCCCGGCCCGAGAACCGGTTCCGGGTCTAGGCCCGGTTGATGGATGAAACCGGAGCCGGTTCCGGGATTGCTTAAATGTGAACCGGCCCGGCCGGGCGTGTAGGGTTGGGTTAAAATGAACTGGGCTGGGTGTTTCCGATGGGTTTGGGGGATGGGGGTAGGGTATGTAGGGGATGAAATAATCAAGAAAAAAAATAGAAACGGACCCGGCCCGGACCGGCACGGCACCGGTCAACATCCAGGCCGGTCCCGGGCTTCATTGAAATTTTTTTGGCCCGGCCCGGTCCATGACTAGTCAGGACTGAAAATTCATTGATTTACATATGTTTAAACTTACACACTAATGATAAACTTTGTCAGATCATTACCATTTGATTATATTTAATCCATGATTATACACTATATATGATATATCCATTAGATCAGTTAACATTTAGATAAAATAATGCAGTTTGAATAATGGCCGAAGCAGTAAAACTCTTACCAGACCATTATTCAAACGGAACTATTTTACCTAAAAAAAATCAATTACTCCGTACTACTCAATAACGGGGGGAAATACGGAGTATTATATACGAAGTCCTACATATATTTTATTTTATCAATGAGATAAAGAAAGAAGAAAGAATTACATATAATTAGCTAAAATATTACTACGTATTATCCACGATGATTGATAAAATGATAAGGAAAAATCGGTTACCTTGTTTTTTTTTTTTTTGAGAAAAAAATATCTCCCTACTAATAAACATTTTCACACAATTCTTATATATTTGAGCCGTGGATGGATCGGGATTCATGGCACGAGGCATCACATTCAGAAACACCGCCGGAGTCGGAAACGGACAAGCCGTGGCGGTCCGGTGCAGCTCAGATTTCGCGGTCTTCTATCACTGCAGCTTTGAAGGCTATCAAGACACTCTCTACTACCACTCTGACCATCAATTCTACCGAGAATGCGACATTTACGGCACCGCCGACTTCATCTTCGGCTTCGGCGCGGTGGTCTTCCAGAACTGCAACATTTTCGTGCGGAACCCCTCGCCGGGAAACACCAACACCATCACCGCCGACGGCCGCCGTGACGACGGCGAAAACAGAGTCGGCGGCGGAGCATGCTTCCACAAGTGCACAGTCACGGCGGCGCCGGACCTGAAGGGCTCCGAGGCCTCCGTGAGGACCTACCTCGGACGGCCGTGGAGCAATTACTCAACGACCGTCTTCATGGAGTCATTTTTGGACAGCTTGATTGATCCGGCCGGCTGGTCGGCGTGGATGGCGGTGGCCCCGCTAAACACTTTATACTACGGCGAGTATATGAACTATGGGCCGGGGGCGTCAACGGCCCAAAGAGTCAATTGGGCTGGGTATCATGTCATCAATGACCCCGCCGAGGCTTCTAAATTCACCGTGGGAGAATTCATCGACGGCGACTCTTGGTTACCCTCCACAGACGTTCCCTTCATTTCCGGCCTCTCATAATTAATACTCTGTACTCTTTAGAAAGAAATTAATTATTCACTCCTAATTCATTTCAATCACTTGTTGTTTAATTCATTGTGTATATATATTACTTCAAAAAGAAATGTATGTATAGATATATCATACTACGTATGTGTTTATTACATGTTATGAATTATTATTTGTAGAATTAAAAAGTGCAAGAATGGAACATAATATACACAAAGTATTACGGAGTAATTATTTGTAGTATTCAAAATGAAGTTTTTTTAATAAAAAGAATTATTTAAATATAAAATGTTACGATCACCCTTATTTTTGTCTACATTTTATTTCATTTGACTAAAGTAAGTGTAATATTAGAATTTCAAAATAAAACTGTAATTTACATAAATATGTGCATAAATCAAAGTAAGAACTTGTTTATACTCGGAGCATCGAATCAGGTTCCCAAAAGTTTTTCCCTAGCGAGATCTCTCGCGTAGGGTTTGTGTTTCGCCGGCCTGGTGCGGCGCTTCTTTCCATCGACGCAGCTCTGCGCCGGATTGCCGTAGTTTTGACGCAGTTCGGGATGGATGATCGTGACAGCGAGAAGATAGTGGAAAAAGCGGGAGAGAGACGTAGGGATGATCGAGACATGGTTGGCGTGGAGAGGTTGAACGCTCCATCCGATGGCATGGACTTGGGTCATGTATGCTACCGAGAGAGGGTATCGACGGTCTGACCTCCGCCTGAACCACCACCATGGGTTGTATGAGGTGCTAGAGTCCGTGAAAGTTTTCATAGTAATTTTTATCTGTTTGTCATTTGTTTTCTTGTGTTCGTCTTTGTTGTTGGTTTTGACAATTTGTTTGAGTTTTTAGCCTCTCATTATGTCTAGGGATGGCAATGGGGCGGGTTTGGGGCGGGGGTACACTCCCACATCCCCCGCCCCATGTCTAAAAGTTCCCCCCATCCCCCGTTACTCCCAAACCCGCCTCATCCCCGCCCCATCCCGTTGTCCCCCACTGGTGCCCACGGGTGCCCCCATATAGATTTAATTTATCATATTTGCATATACTTTTAATCTCTTATTATAAATATATGTAGTGTTATTCCAACGAGAACGATGCTTAACGTGGGAACAATCACATTTAATCCAATGTGATACACAATAGAGCCATTCTAGTGCACATTTGGACTTTGCTCAATACAAGCTAATATATATAATCACGGTGACACTTTTGTAAATATTATGCTAGATACGAAAAAAGTGCATTGCGCGAGCCTATTGTGCTTCACATTGAGGGTAAATGTGGTGTTTGCACATTCTCACGTTAAGCGTTGTTCTCATTTGATCCTAAACCTATGTATATCTACGCGCACAGAGTCATATGATACACATACACGCAACACTGAAGTATTGTGTTTGTTAAAAGTTAATACTGTCAATTTTAATGATTCTTCAATTTGAATAAGTTTTGTGAATTGAAGACAATTAAAGTAAAAATATAAGTAAACATATTATCACCATGTACGTTGTTTCAAAATTCTCAACAATTACAATACAATTAATTACATATTATATTAAATATAAATGTGTGTGTATTTATTTACTCACTTTCCCACTCTTAAAACTCATATAACATTTATGATAAATACTTTTAATCATTATTAGTTTATTACTCCATATTATTCTAGTATAATATGTGTATTAATTCATTAACCATGATTAAACCGTAAACAATTATGTATGTCAAAATGTATATGAGTTTGTTATATACTACATATAATTTAATTAAACATGTGTGTACATTATTTATATAAGTGTATATATATGTTTGAGTATATATTTATAACGGGGACGGGGCTGGTGTAGCAATACCCGTCCCCCGCCCCATATTTTAACGGCATAAAAATATCTCACCCATCCCCGTCCCCACCCCGCCCCAAGCCCCACCACATCCTTCCCCCGCGGGGCGGTTCCCCATGGGTCCCCGCCCCCATTGCCATCCTTAGTTATGTCATTGGGTATGGTTGGATCTATGAGAACAAATTTAGTTGTGTCAAGTGGTCCACTGCATGGTTAGTGAATAGCGATTCGTGTTGCTCTTTCAGGGGTGGCCGTCTCAAAGCTTGATCATAGGATCTACAATCATAGTTGTTGGAGTTCGGTTGGTGTCAGTTTTATTTTCCCTTTGTCTGATATAATGATCCTGAATCTTTTGATATGATAGAGGCTTGTTTTGATGATAAAAAAATTGTTTGTAAAACGGAAGAGACTATTAATTAGTTTGTAGTATATGAAGGGGTGTAACCTAGGATAAGCTGAGCCCATATATAAAAATATTCAGATAAATATTACACGAATATGTTTCTGCTAATAATTAAAAGTTTTTTTTAGTTAGTCCGGGCCCTGCATGCCCCCTACCTCCCCTGAGTATGTGTGTTTGGTTTCCAAATTTCGATAATGGTAATTGGGTACTACTTGAGTGTGGCATGTGTGAATACTTACAAGTAATTTAACATTAAAATATGTGAGTATGTGTGAATACTTGCAAGTAATTTAACATTAAAATATGTGAGTACTAAGTAGTAGCGATGATGAAACTAGGGATGGACTAGGATGAGACCGGGCCGAGCCCCAAGACGGGGCCGGGCCTAACAGTACCAGGCCAACAGGCCGGATCGGGTCAACCCGTCCCAGTCCATCCCTAGATGAAACCCTACTCTATTTGATTTTGACTCAAATGGAGATGTTAACATTGAAGGTCACCATTGAAGTGTGAAAATAATTTTTGTTTTGACGTACTTTGAAGAGCTAACGTGGTAACCTGAAGTGTCATGGGATAATGACAAGTTTCTTTTTTTATTGGCTAACCGTTAGCTATGTGGTTATTTACCGTCATCGTTGACTTGTTAATCGGTTAATCCCCAAGTACCATCCATCTTCTTTGTATCTTTCTAAGGTTAGGGATAAGCATTTCATGCTAAACTTTGCACCAATCCCGGGTGTGCTCTACTTTTTCCCTCACATTGTGGTGACAAACCCCTCTTTCAAACCATCACTGTGCACAAGAAGATAGGATGATATATACTTATTTCTTTATGGTTTCTCGTAAAACCAGGAACAATATAACACATGGCTCCTTATCAATGGATGGGGAACGCCTACAAGCCATTTACGGCAGATGATCAAGCCGAGACACATGCCATTTTTCTCTCATTGAAGAATGTAGAGTCATTTTTTGTGATAGTTGTTTTTGTCACAATAGAAGCAATCAATCTGATAGTAAAGTTTAATTCCTTTTGAATCGCTTAGTTGGACTTTGAACTTTATGCATGTTGTTTTTGGTATTCTCATCAATAATATTTGATTCAAGATGGGACAAGGATAATATTTTTATCCTTAATGCTACCATTTAGGTGCTCTAGCAATTAGCAAAGTTTGGCACCTGAGGAGTATTAAAGACGGGACAAGGGCAGTTTCTAATGAATTCTGGCCTAGATTGTGAATAGGGCTGGCAATATCACCCGAATTAGCGAATACCGGTCAACCCAAACCAAGGAAGTGGGTGAAAATGAAACACTAATCAAACCAGAATGGCCTATTTATTAGTCATCATCACTATAGAGTTTTCACGTTAAGATGAAAATAGTATGGTTAATTGGTTAGTGAATAATAAGACGAAAAATTGTGAAAAGGTAGAGAAGTAATCAAAAAGATGATAAAATAATGATATTCGTGTAAATTAAGGATAAAAGTAGAGTAAACTTTCCAAATTGGTAAAACATACTCTGTAACAAATAATAATAATAACTTCCCAAAAAGTAATACTCCGTACGTAATAAATACAACTATAAAAGGAAGGATTATTATACTATACAACATTCATAATATGAATAATATAAGATGAAAAATGTACCTCCATGTAAATCGGAACTGTATCTAGGCTGGACCGATCCTGAGTACCAATCCCAGTTGCGTCGTTTACGTCAAGTTCCTGCCTGGTCTTACAAACACCCCCAAGAACTAGTACTGGGTACACCTATAGGTCTTTTCCATTTATTATAAGTAAACCATTTAGTAATGAAGGATTTATATGTTTTACAAAGGGGGGTTTATGTAAGATGCAAAGTACTACGTATAACATTTCACATGTAAAATGTTAGAAAAATAAATACATTTACATGATTTGTCTTGATTATTTAATGTAAATCATACAACATATCTTTTTAGCGTTTCTCAATATACTATTTAGAACATTTTACTTGGAGACAAACATTTTAAATGGCACATGTTGATAGTAAGTCCGGAACAAAAGTAGTAGACAATGGTATCTCACTTAGAACTCAACAGGAGGCTTCATCCTTACAAGTCGTTTAATTCTTTCTTTTTCGGTGTTCTCCAGCAGCCCCTGAGTACCCAAACAAAGATTTATATATGTAAGTGTGAGTGTGAGTGTAGAGAGAGACAGAGGGAAAGAGTTTACTATGAAAAATGCTTAACAACTAACCACATAACATTAAAGTGATCAGGCATGACCATATTAACTACATTCAGTGGGAAATGGCCGACCTCTTAAGTCATTAGGGAAGCGCTTAACCCGGGCCAGTTCTGCTGCGATTCCAAGGTTTTGGCTTATCTAAAAAAAGAAACAACACACTTGTCTGGTCTTTGGTCCAGCGCTGCCTAAAAGTCTAATTAGATGGAAGGGGACCCAGAAACATTTGATTTATCAAGTTATAAGCTGAGCCTGAGCCTTCCAAAGCCCATCCCCCCATCACCTCCCATCCATGCAGATCCTAAGTATATAGGACTAAATGTCAAATGACTGGTCATTTTGTCCCGGGGAGGGTGTACTTAGAATTTCCCGCTCTTCATCATTATCATCATCGTCATCACTACCAACATATTGCACCTCAGTCTCAACTATGTCGGAGTTGGTGGCATGAAGTTTATACTGTCATTAATCGTCTAAGTAACTTGGAGCTAAAAATTCATGCAAAAAAAAGAAAGCAGATGGTGGCAAAGCTTTAGAGGAGGAATAGTAATAAGATAGGATCAAATTTTCCAATTGTCATCATCAAATGTTCTCTAGACTTGCATAACCATTATCATGAGGCAATAACGGAAAAATATACTCCGTATTTAGTTGGTATAGTCAAGTCCTATTGCAAAATTGATAGTTCCAAAAGCTAACATGCATACAAGAGACTACGACAGAAACATGATCATTATCATACCATCTTGCGCCTTGATCCTATCTACTGTGGGAATGTGGGATCAAAGGCAATAGTATATCCTTTATAGTTGTTCGTGCAAAAAAATACACATTGATAGAATATATTTCGAATTTCATTAAAAATGTCATTACGCACAAACTTGTGATTGGCTGTCTAACTAAACTTCGGAGTGCCACAACAATTACAAAGAAAAATCTGATAAGGGTTTTTCTCACCTTACATACAATTTCATCCAGACAAAGACAAATCTTTCCATACTTGTCCAAGAAAAGGCGCTCTGATGGAGGTTTCGCACAGACATCCTTAATGCTTGATGTTATGACAAAGATTGCTTCAGACACTTGAGATAAAGTGAAAAGGATTGAATGATTAGGGCCAATAGGAATTTTTAAGGTGCAATAACCAATATGAAATACAAATAGCCCAACGATCTTGCTAGACTTTCACAATAATAAGTGTCATTTTTATGGAGATAAACTTCACAATATTACCCCCTCAGGTAGAACTCTGTATTGACAACAATAATCAAATATTATGATGAATAAAGAAGGGGAAAATGAAAAAATAGCATAAAAAATTCTCTTGGTTCTATAATACAAAATATAAGTTTTCCTCCAAAACGAAAATGAGGCCATGAAGGTGCTTTTGGTTTGGAGGTAAGATAATGGCTAATGGAGGGGAGAGGGAGGAGCCAAGGTTCTCCCTCCTCTCCTCTCCCAGTCTCCCCTCTCCTTATATTTTCCTCTCCTTCAAAATTGGGGGGTTTTCTTTCTAGAGGATCCAAATGAACACTACAGAACCCCTTCCCTCCCTTCCAGCAAAATCAATAAAACAGAGCAACATAAAAAACTTCTTTCCCTGCCCTCCCCTGAACAAAACACACCCTTATTGTGTGAGCTGGAGAGAGTACTAGCTATTTAATCACATTTTATGGAACATTAATACACCCAAACGCTAAAATAGGAAAAGATACATTAGCATAGACATTATCACACATATCTTCTTTGAATCTCAGATTATTAATTCAATCACCCAGCTATTTGTTCACAATCTCAAGCTTTATATTTTCCACGCAAGACATGCAGAGCTCTAAGCAAGCAAAAATACCATGGGAATATTCCTTGCAACAACAATAACATCCAAGCCTTACTACCAAAATACCATGGGAATATTCCTTGAAATACAAAAAATTAAGCAAATATATTATACTCACATGCAAGTTCATCATACTCATCCTTGCCAACGACATAGATGCTGACATCTCCAAGCACTGTGTATACAATATAAACAGATCTGCCCATGTAGATAAAAGATGCAGAGATGAGAGAACTTAGAAAATCCACAAAGACAATAGTTTTCTCTCCATAAAGAAGAAGAAGGCACAACAGTAGATCGTATTTGTCTCCTATACTCATTAAATTTAATCTTGTGCATTTTAAAGTGAAAAGTTGAACAATCCCACTATTCCTGGGGTGCCGCTTGTTGATAAGTGCCATATTTATAACAACTACTATTCATATTTTATGCTCTGTACTTTGGGATATCCTGCAAATCCTGATGTAAATTTGGGAGGTGGGGTTTTGAGGAGAATAGAAGAAATAAGTTGTTCTTCATTTTAAGAAAACATTGCTTAACTTGACAAATTTTCAAAATAAAAGATACAAATTGATAAATCAGTATAAACACTGTAAACTCAACATTCTCGTAATTTATTTGTTAAACAAAGCCATATATAATTCTCAATTCTTTTAATCTAACACTTTCTTCCTTTCCCTCCTAAACCTCCCTCCTAAACATTATAGGGGGGACAACTCTAACAGAATTTAGTTACTGTGATAGTTTATTACTACGTATAATAGATTATATCTAATGATATGACATGAACACAACATAGCAGCTGAGAAATAAATTTACAAGCAGACATGGATGAAAGTCAATTGCCTTAAGCGTAACTGATGAGTATTCAAAATAGGGGAATAGCGAGGGTTGAAATACTTTAACCAACCATGGAAGAAACTTTTAGGTATCACTTCAATTGATACAAATTTACCTCCTACTTTAATAAAGTTAATCAATAAATTTTAGCTAAGTTATCATTTATCAGGGTACTAGAGCACTTCTAATGAGTTAAACAAAGAGTAAGAGAAGAAATACTTGTGACAAGCAACAAGAAGTTCTTCATTCTTTGCGCCTTTAAGATTATCTGCTCCAAGCTTGACTAGGAAAGACCGCCAATGCAAACGCTCTTCTGCTGGCACACCATTAAACCTGGAAGTAAATATCAGTAGAACACGAAGAGTGATTTATATAGTTCCCATTAAGAAACATGAAGCATCTCCTTTAGGCTATGTTTGGAACAAAACAAGGCTATGTTTGGAACAAAACAAGGCTATGTTTGGAACACAGAAAATGACCGGAAAAGGGAAACAAGTAATACTTTGTTGTTTTAAATAATAACTAAAATTTAACATCTACTTTGTTTCTTACCCTTAATATGATAGATCATATCAATAAAATGAGTTCTAAAACATATACATACTTGATTTATTGATTTTAAACCAGTTTTAACTTTCATGCATATAAAAATCCTTCCAAATATCTCCTCTAAGTTACAGTGTAATGGTTTTACAAGCATTTTCTGGGGTTCCAAACGAACCATTACAGTATCTATAAGTATCTCCCAAAGCTCTCTCCGCAGCTAGAACAATTATTTTTCCATAAATGTGTACATATAGTTCTTCATTAGAAGACACTGTTTTGCTTAGAACAATATAATGTACCAAATGATAAAAGATTCATCACAATTCACAAATCACAACTAGTATCGTACACATTTACTAATTTACATATACTAGCATTCAATTAAAAAAATAGGCGGATTCATTTGCTAACTACAAGAGGTACTACAAAAAGCTCAGTCCTAGATCTAGAAGCAACACAGATATTTAGAAATTGATACAGTAGACCATTAACTTCTATTTCGTCCGTTTGATCTAACATATTTCTAAGCTCAATATCCATCTAATCAGATCATATGAATGTAATACAGTAAAAAAAACTAGATTGATTAAATTGTGATACAAATCACTGCCAGTGAACTCAATACAATCAAACGCATGTAACAATGTTCATTAGAGGTTACCGTTCGACAAGAATGTTTCCCTCGGAGTTGGCAATTAACACGGCCAACAACATTTCTCCTTATTCTTATTTTGTTTAATAGTTGGCTGGCTACAGAGGAATGATCAGTTGAGTTCAAATTTGGAATTCGAGATTTTGATAGCCTGGAGAGAGGGGAGACGAAATGGGTTTCCAAGCATTTCGACTATTGGGCCGGGTCGATTATGCACACTTGAGTGTTTGCTCGGTTTGCAATCTTTGGATTTAAGATAAGTTGTTTGAGTTAGCGGGTTTAATTAGCGGAACAAATTGACGGGTTGTCAGAATATGTTTGGTAATTCAATCGTTTGGACATACTCTCTCCGTCCCCTTTTAAATGTCTTGTTTTACCATATCAGGGTGTCCCTATTTAATTGTCTCATACGGAGTATCTTATTTGATAAAGTTTGTGTGGTTCAAAATCATTCTTACTTTATTTTTACTTTATCAATTAATATCAACCACGCAAACCCACTTTTCTTAAAACTCGTGTCACCCTCTTCCGTCCCAATATAAAAGGGGCGGAGGTAGTAACAATTACTAGTAGTAGAGAACATCGTTGTATACCCAAAACTCTCATATTTTCAATGTTTTCATTTCAACGATTCCGTTCAAAAACGTTGGATAATTGGATTCGAACAATTATTTAATAAACAACTTTTTCACTTATTGAAAACGTCGGAGTCCAACTGCCATTTTTTTTTACCGAAACGTCATTTTTCAAACATCCATCGAGAGTGTTTTTTACATGAATCTTACTATTAGTAAATTGGTTGATTAAAAAGTGTTTAGTTAGTGTAAAACATACGCGCGTAAGGAAACTTCAGATCGTGTCATTCTTGCCCTAGACCGTTACTCCCTCCGTAACTTAAAAACCTTCCTATTTCAAAAGTAGATAGATTAAAAATAGTGAAAGAATATATGAATAACTGAGGGTAAGATGGGAAGATAATGGAATAATGTGATGGAATGTAGGATAAATCCAAAAAAAGTAGTTGTAGAAGTGTATTATTTTCAGAATTATTGAGGGTATGATGGGAAGATTTAGAAATGAAAAGATTTTTTTGTTACGGCGAAAAAAGGAAATTGAGAAGATTTTTAAGTTACGGAGGGAGTATAAAACTAAACAAACTAAAGGCTAACATTCTGCAAAAGAGAAGAGTGCGTTGAGGAGAAAATCATGGAGATTACTTAGGACATTTTTACATGAACTGTAATTTGTGGGTCTGGTCTGGCCTGATCAGATCTGGTCTGATTTTTATATTTTTATAATTACTCAAGTCTGATCTGGTTTGATCTGGTCTGGGACAAATCTCAATCAAACTAAAAACATCCATAGTGTATCATATTTGAGCACCAAAAACTTCAGATAATAACTTAGCGTACAATATGGTAAAAAGGCGTTCAAGTCTTCAAGATGAGTATTTTGTGATGCATGACATGGTGGGAGTTAAAAAGATGTATGTAAGTATTGAAAAAGAACAAAAAAATAAGTTGAAGAAAAAATGAAGAGAAATTAAAGAAATGGACATTGTACGTGAATAAATTAAAAAAGAGGAAATTGCTCATGATTAAAGTATAACATAGCATTTTCTAGATTTTTTTAAGAAATAATATAGTATGATTGACTTCCCTTTAATAGGGATCCGGAGCCTCTATCTTACTTTAGAATAAGGTAGAGTGTCTTGCTTCATCTCGGTCGTCCGATCGACAATTCTACGGTCGGAGATCTTGGGCTCCACTTTTTCGACGATCTCGAGGTCGTGTTGGTCGCTCCCCTCCCGTCCGATGCGCAAGGCACCCTCCTAGTCGGGTAGAGGATCCCAATCCGACTAAACATTAATTGTGCTCTAAATTGAAAAAGGAAGTAAAAAGGAAAAAATGAATTTGTTGTTCTTCATAATGAAATGGGAAAACAAAAATGGGCAAAAGAACTAAAAACACTTTGGTCCGGAAGTTAAAATAAACTCAAATTGAACAAAATGAAATTGAAAATTTATGATAGACCTGGGAGTAATCGATAGACCGTGGTTTAGGATGCATAAGTAATACTCCGTAACTAATAAGTAATGTTATTTTTTCAAAAATATTAATGAAATAAAATTTATTTAAAAAAATATGATTAAAAGTCACTATAGCATTATGATAACTTCCGTATAAATACTCCGTATTAAACATGAGTTACTTTGAGTAAAATTATTACTCAAACATCTACTTCTGACAAACACAGGTATTACTGTAAGCATCTACTTCTCTTTAAGTGCAGCGCTGCAGGCATAACCATTTTTGTTAGAATAATTTTCTGTGTGCTTTGAGACCTTATTTTTACAAGCAGTAGTTGTCTTGACTCCTAAAGTCTTCTTATTGTGCAACGCTTTCAAAAAACTAGCTTATCGTTTTTTGTGGTTTAGGGCTACTGCATGACCGAGAATATGAATTTGTTGTTCTTCATAATGAAATGGGAAAACAAAAATGGGCAAAAGAACTAAAAACACTTTGGTCCGGAAGTTAAAATAAACTCAAATTGAACAAAATGAAATTGAAAATTTATGAGAGTCCTGGGAGTAATCGATAGACCGTGAATTAGGATGCATAAGTAATACTCCGTAACTAATAAGTAATGTTATTTTTTCAAAAATATTAATGAAATTATTACTATATTACTATATTACTATTTGTGAGATTGAAGTGGGCTCTCACAAAAACTAATATTTGTGAGAAAACTATATTACTATAGTAACAACACTTAAGAAATCGTTTTTGTAAATAAATTCATTTTAATCGTAAATGTGTTCTTTTTTCATAAGTAACTATTAAGGTAGTAAGTAAAGTAAATTTGCTTAATATTACAAAAACTAATAATAACAACTTTGCTTACTCTTACTTTTAATCTGAGTTTAAACTAAGTGCATTTCTATTTAAACAAAAACGGGTTTTGCTCTAATCTTGTTGATTGACACGCAAAAGGAAAAGATTGCACCAGCCGGGAATCGAACCCGGGTCTGTACCGTGGCAGGGTACTATTCTACCACTAGACCACTGGTGCTACTTTGTTTATGATTGTGCGGAGAAACATATTAAACTAGATTTCTGTCAAATCTATTAAAGTAAAATGTAGTTCATTATACTCCGTATTACGGTATTACACTATTACCTGCTAGTCTGCTACTCGTGTAATTCTTGTTGTTAAATTGAAAGTTTGAAACAAAATAATGATATAATCCCTCTCATGAAAGATGATACTTCAACCACTTCTTAGTTTTTAGCTCAAGGATAAGAAAAAAAGAATTTGTATTCTTAATTCACAATATTTGATGGATTACCGATCCAAACAAGTAAACAATTAGAGAGATTGAGAGTGGGGAAGGAGGTGATTAATTAATAGAGATTGTGTATGGAAAAAAATATAATCTAGGGTTTATAAGTTAAGTATAGAATAACGTGGGCGAGACAAGCATATGGAATCGTAGGCTATACTACATATACATGTTAATCTAACATATATAAATGGATAAACTAATTAAGTTGTACAATAATATAAATACAATCTACTCAACGTATATAAACTAGTGTCCAGAACTAATCTAGGAAGCACGGAAACGTTGATCTGGCCCAAGTCCCCATCTTGAAAACGTTTCGAAAACGTGAAACGCTAGAAACGCCGGGAAACGGCTGGGAAACGCAGGGAAACGTTTCTGAGCTCTTGGGCTGCTGGGCCGGGTTGGGAAACGTTTCGGAAACGACGATTGAAGTGGGCTCTGGCGTTTCCGGTTAATTTTACTAAAAAAAATAAGGTTGGTCAATGGGCAATCATCCGCAATTAGTGTTTAAAAAAAACCTGCTACGTTCGCTGCGCCACTGTGACTTTATCCTCTCGGCATAACCGTCGTACCACTCGACGGAAACCGTTGATTTGTTGAAGGCTGGAGCGACGCTGGGTGACGAAGGGAGAGGCAGAGTGCAACGTGTGCTGGACTTGGTGACTACTTCGCTGGAAGGGAGACTTGGCCGACGAAGGGTGACGCTGGCTGCTTAGCTTCTTCGCTGGACTGGATTCTTTTATTTAAAGATGTATGTATTCTTTGGAGTAAGTGCTTCCTATATTTATCTTTAACTATGGAAGTTACTGGGAGTGGTTCTAGTGATGCTGCTAGTGGGTCAGCCACTTCTTCTAGTATTTGTCTTTGATTATTTCGTATTTGTTGGACGTAAACATTATACTTCGTACATACTAGTAAAATTTTAATTTTTAGTTCTACGTTTCCTTGCCGTACCCGTATCTTGATATTTTGAATTTAGAGTTTCCCCGTCCCCGTATCCGCCCCCGTATCTGTTCCCGTTTCCGTCCCGGTGCTACTTAGGAACTAATAGTCGTTAGATCGGGGGGTCGAGTCCTCCGCTCCTTGAGACAGGAGTACTCGAGGCGAAAGGAGTGTTGATCTTCCGTATGTCAATTTGCCATTATTTCAATTCATGGAGTTTACTTTTGTTATTGACGAGAAGTCCCACCGGATTCCTAAGTCGCTAAATTAATTTGATCTCATTAGCGAGTAAACCTTGTGGAAGAGTTCTCAGATGAAGGTCGCATGCCAAAGATCACCACAATCGATCTTGGGCAAGGGCTTTGTGTCTATACTTCATGGCTGTTGTGCCAACCGAGTATTCATATGATAAGATGACACAAGTGACGCGTGTGGCACTCTTGTCAAAATTTTAATTTTGTGCTTTTCTGATTAACGGGAATGTTAAATCCATCGTTCCTCTAGTCCCCCACTCTTTGACGAGGTGCACATTCTATTCATTTTCTTTTAATTTTATAAAAACTGTTGAAAGTTTTAATTATTGTTCACCATCTTTCTCGGATGAAGTTATTATCACATCATTTGTTTCTAACAAAGTTAGGCTTCGTACCCCGTGTGTGATAACATAATTAAAATACCGGGATGACTTTGATAATATATGAAACATGGGCTTTTATTTAAAAGAGCTCCCACCACGAGTACTTTTTCAGTACAATTCCCTTTTTACTATATGCCCTTATTTAACCAGTTAACATTATTCAATTTAGAAAATAATTATAGGGAATTCAAATATATTTAACAACAACAATAGCAACACCCAAATTTTAGTGTCAAAAGAATTTGGAGTTGACTAACATGAATCGATATATGACATCAGATGTACAAGAGATACAAAAGGTAAAAG